GTTTTCCCTCCTCCTCCTCCTCCTCATTTTTATTGTTTTCCCTCCTCCTCCTCCTCCTCCTCCTCTTCATTTCTATTGTTTTCCCTCCTCCTCCTCCTCCTCCTCCTCCTCTTCATTTCTATTGTTTTCCCTCCTCCTCCTCCTAACTAGGACAATCACAGCAGCAGGAAATAGGACAAGAGCTAGTTTGTCTTTGCCCTCTTAATATGCACGATTTGCCCGCCAAAAGTCAGTGAACCGGAACAAGGACAATCACAGAAGTAGGAAATAGTAAGTGCATAATTACGTTACGTCTCAGTGATTTTAAGTCACAGACAAGTTTGACTTTGCTCCTCAGACACTATGGATTAACCAATGAAATCGTTTCTCATTTTCTAACTAACCAATCGAAAAGGAAGACGTCTATCGACCTTAAAGTAACTAGAAATCCTAAACCAACTAAAAATAACACACGACCTTATCATAATGAGATTCCTACGCATTTTATTCATGAGATCAAGACAAAAAGTTATGACGTCATTGGCGTTAATGTATTCCTGCTCACGCTAATGAGATTCCTGCTCAAAAAAGAGGCCTAACCGGTGCGCCTTATACTACTAAAATTCTTTCAAATTAACCTTTTACAATGAGGAGTCGATAAAGTACAGACCCAAGTGTCCGGCATTCAGTTGTATATTTGCCTGGAAACAAGGCTACTTGGGCAATAATGAACTCAGTTAAAGAAGTGGCGTTCACGTGCTATCCGAAGACGAGCTGAACACAAGCTAAGAAATACAAGATTACGGTAAACACATTGCTTCATGTTTTTATACTAAAATAGTGCTGAGAAATAGGCAAAAAAAATTGAAAAAAGTCTGTGAGGAGGTAAGCTTGTAAATAACTCAAAATATTTTGAATGAATAATAAAATAATTATTGGAACTGGCTCTCGAATGATACTCAGCCTATTCAATAATTGTTGTGTTTACATGCAGTTTGCATAGAAACTGTAAAACACTATGCAGTCCTGTCATGTGTTTGTAATGTCCTTAAAGTCCTCAAGTAAGACAAGCGATAATTCTGAGGGCCAAAAAGGCAAAATACCGTATGATTCATTTCTTGAACAAGGAAAAATATATTACACTCAAGTCGTTGCTTATCATTATATGAATTTATTTTTTCCAGTAAAAAGAAATTTTGCAAAAAAGGGTAACTGTGGTCATCCGTGTTTGCTACATAAACATGAAGGCGAAGTGTGACATGTTGCGCCAGAAAAATGGGCGTGGCCTGGCGTCGATATATTTTTTTTTTGCTCGATGCGAGGAGTTTTCCATTTTCTTTTCGACGTTAGTCTTCGGCTTGCTGCATGTATTACATGAAGGTGGACTGGGTAACTTAATACGTCAGATAAATGAGCGTCATATGTGTGTCGAACTTTTTTTCTTCCACGCAAGAAATCACTCTTTGTCCTCTTTATTTTCTTCGACAAAGTAGGTTACGTTTCATGTTTATGTGACATAGCAGGCCGATAAAATCGCAAGTGCCCAACATACATAAACGCCACTGAATCGTAGTCTGCAGTTACCGGCACTGAACAACGACGTCTTACATTTTTTAATACGAAAAGTTTACGCTTTTTTTCTCTACGAAACATAGCCTAACCTGTGGAGTGAAATCTGAAAAATTAAACTGCAAACGGCCTAACTGACACACGACCAATAACATCGCGACTTAATTGACCAATCAGGTCAATAACCAGAGTCTAATACCATCAACTGACGTGATACAACTCACTTGAACTCTGGAGATGACTACCGCAGAGGTTGTCGAAACGTCAGTCACTGGCAACAACACTTCCATTCAGGACTACGTTCACCCAGACGACCATGCTCAATCTACTTATGAAATGACTCATGCAGCTGGGCCCAGTTGTTCGAAGGCCGATTAGCGCTAACCCTGGGTAAAATTTTAACCCAGGTTTCTATTTCTTTTGTTCTAAAGCATTTTTGAGAATAATTTTCTCGATTCTTGTTAGAGCATCAAATCATGAAATTGTGGACAAAAAGAATAAAACTTAATTTGCTTTTTAAAGCTTTCATATCTGAATTGAAATTTTGCACTGACCCTGGGTTATCTTAACCCTGCTTTGAACAACCCATCCCAGGGTGCAAACCTTTCACAGATTTAGGCATAACTAAAAATGTAAACAAGTGCTCTCTAGAGAGAGCTTTTTTTCAATAACTAATATGACTTCACTGAACCTGTGTGTCAAATTGCAGAGGAACCAGCAATATGAAAAGACCTGCGGACCTCAAGGAATCGTTTGATTTCTGCGGACTGGAAGATGAAAATTATGTAAGTGTCCGTCATTGTTTTACGATTAAGATAAACGTGTTTGGGCAGCGCCTCGGAAACTCTGCAAGAAACCACTTAGAAACACGATTTGAACCAACCTGCATCTGCGACATATAACTGACCCGTTAAGGTGGCTGAACACAGTTTTGGCAGTTTGTGAGTATATG